TAATATTATGTAATTAATTGTTTATTTTAATTAAATGCCTGATATATTTAATCAATATGTAATTGTATATTCTTTTTAATTTTACAATCAATTAAGAGTCATGTGTTGTGTTACGGTTTTATAAATAAATTCTTGCCTTCAAATTTTTTGTAACGTTCTAACTTCCGTATAAAATGCCTATACATTAAAAAAAGTGATTCATATTTTTGTATAAAACATTTATTAATACATTTTAGCTCAAGAAGTTTTAATACCATTACTTTTTGACTGTTTATAAACTCCTATCGTTTGAGTAAATTTTTCAAAAGTAAATGTTCTAATAAATAAAAAATCTTAGTTTTGTTTATTTAAAATATATGTTCAAAATAAGAATAATGCTTTAAAAATTTTACGGAAACAAAGACCTACAAACAAAGGTGGTTTTGATCCCCATTCTTCCTTTTTAAAAATAATAATAATAATAATAATAAAAAAATCTGGTTGACTGGACATACTACATGTTTTTCTTTAAAAAATTGATTAGTTCCATTGTTTCGCATAGAATACTGTATATAAGTATTAGTTGGAATAAAGTTAGTTATTGATAACACCATATGACCTACAAATCTTTCCAACTTGACTTGTGGTACTATACGTGCGTTTACACTAGCCTGCAAGATTCACTTAAGAATTTGCCTAGTTATTTAATCGGTAGATTTCTCAATTTTTTTCGACAAATACATTCATAATAACATACTTAGAAGAAAAGATTTCAGTTTTTCAAGTTCCCTTTTTGTTGATAGTATTGCTACGTCCGGTAACTCATCTTGTCCAATGGAAATTCTGAGATAATTTTAATAATCTTTAGCATAGAAAAACTTCTTTCAGCTGTTGCAGTTGTGACCGGAAGGATGAAAAATAGGGGACATGCGGCTGAAACATTGGAAAATAGGATATGAGAGGCTATTGAAATTAATTAACAATAATTCTGAGAGATTTTGGATATGTTGACTCCCTCAGAGTTCAGATTTTCAAAAAAAAAAGTTTTTTAAAGCAATTAATTGTGCATAGATATTGTGTGCTAAGTTCTTATATTCACCAGCAAGTTTTGTGGCCTGTTTATTATTATTATCTCTTCGTTTGAAAAGTATAAGAGTTTCACCGGTTGTAAGATTTAGAAAACATTACAAAAATCATGGAGAATTTAAGAAATGTAACAAAAACTTCCATATTGTATTATTAATTTTTTAAAAAAATCATTAAAACACAATACAATCATTTCACTACTCGTTGCTTTCTTCCTGCATATACAGAGTGTTTTTTTTCCAGGTATAGAAGTTTAAGTTGGCATTACTTTCCAAGATGGCGACCGATTTAACAGCTGTCAAGTGATTTATTCTCAGTTTGGTTTGGCAATTCGTCATGAATAGACTCACGCCTGAACAACGCTTTTAGATTCGTCGAATGGGCCCAAAACGAGATTGCCGTTGTTCCCGATTTTCATAAGCGAATTTTGCTTAGCGATGAAGCGCACTTCTGGTTGAATGGCTACGTCAACAAACAAAACTGCCGCATGTGGAGTGAAGCTAATCCACAAGTGTATGTCGAAACACCGTTACATCCAGAAAAACTGACTGTTTAGTGGGCTTTATGGGCTGGTGGAATCCTTCTTCAAAAACGATGAAGGCCACAACGTTACAGTCAATGGTGATCGGTATAGAGCCATGATTACTAACCTTTTCATTCCTGAATTGAACAATCATGATGTCCAGGAGCTGTGGTTCCAACAAGACGGTGCAACATGTCACACAGCTCGTGCCACAATCGATTTATTGAAAGACACATTTGGTGACCGCCTAATTTCACGTTTTGGACCTGTGAATTGGCCTCCAAGATCTTGTGATTTAACACCGCTAGACTATTTTTTGTGGGGCTATGTAAAGTCATTGGTCTATGCGGATAACCCACAAACGATTGACCATTTGGAAGACAACAGTCGCCGTGTTATTGCCGATATACGGCCACAAATGTTGGAAAAAGTCATCGAAAATTGGACTACATCCGAGCCAGCCGTGGCAGTCCTATGCCAGAAATCATATTTAAAATGTAATGCCACAAGATTATCTTTCGAATAAAAAAAAAATTCATGTCAATCGAATAATACATCGTTGTTTTATTGCATTTTAAAGTTCTATACCTCTAAAAAAACACCCTTTATTATAAAACAAGCGTTGATTTGCATAAATGAAGGTTTTGTGAAAAGTATAATAATGTGTGTACATTTTTTTTTTTCATATCTGAATAAGTTAGAAATTACAAAAATCGCTTTAAAATGATTTTTAACAGCTCAGTTGGCTCTTAGTCGTGTAAATTGTAATATTAAAGTTTTCAATACAATTCTCTATCTTTTACGTTTGCAATTTATCATTCGAGTTTATTCCACTCTTTGCAGTGCTAATAAAGCCCGCCAAGTGGTTCTGCTGCTTCAAATGAACTGTGTGTTCGAGTTCTGATTCTATTGGGCAGCCTGACTGAGGCATGGGAAATCTATTGGTGCTCAAAGTCCACACACTGATAAAGTGTGGAAGTTAGGAAAAGGGTGTTAGTTCATTTGACTATGGTTCAAAATTAAAAGGTGTGTTGCAAGTAGCCCTCATTTTACTTTTCAGTAGAACGTTAATAGATAAATCAATTAATAGTGTAGCAAGAAGGAGGGCTCTTATCAAAATATTTAGAGAGCTGTGGGGGGAGGGGTACAGTGGTAAAGTGTAATATTGTACCTACTCTAATCCATTTTAATAGCACATAAAAATCATATTTAATAAATGAAAAATGTTATCACAACAAAAATTATCTTCAGCAAAGGGACAATTTATTATGAAAAATCAAACGAGATTTTCATGTTTAAAACTTAAAAACAACATTATGTCCAATGGTGCACGTGGATGATTTTTTAGGAGGAATTGACGTTTAACAAATAATATGTGAAGATCCCCTTGGATCTCACTTTGAGAACGAGAATAATTTTTGAGTCAAAGAAGAACCAGTAGCCATTTTTATGAATAACTTTCTTTATTTGGTTATCTTTCCCAAATAGAATCAAAGACTTTTAATAACAAATAATTCAAATTAGCTATATGAGGTTTAAAAGGGACTTTCCTTTATATTAACTTAAATATTTAATGATCCAATTAATTAACAATTAGAATATCGATCCCGCAGAGATTACCACAATAAGAGATCCCAGAATTATATTCAATAATATTCCTATTGAACATTTAACTTTAATCTCACTCCTAATATAAAGCTTTAATGAGACTTTAATTATAAATCAATATTTACCACACTGAATCTCAGCTCTTCCTGAGCCTAATTTATCCACCTAGAAATCTTCAATAATAAATCTCTAACTTCACTATTATAACTTCCTGCTTCAATCTCTCTCTCCTACTGCCTCCCACTTTACTATTCCGTTTGACTTAAATACTTTATCTAATCTGCATAACAAAGAATCCCTGTCCTCTTTTTGCAGCTGATTGGAAATAGGTAGGGAATTAAATTTCCCTATAAAAAGACGTCTCAGAAGGTTAGTGATAAAGTTCCGTATAGATTTGTCACAAATATAAAGAATAATTTTAAGGTAAATTCCTAACAAAGAAAATTTTTATTTTAGTTCTTTTTATGAAATAATTACAACTAATATAAATATGTATATACATTTGGCAGAATCACAATATTAAGTGGCAAAATAGAAAGCTATTTTAATTACAATTTTCCGTTTTTCATTATATACATTCTATTTATTCCTTAATTAAATTTAATTATTCCAACAAAATTGTATAGCAAAAAGAAATCACTTTTTCAGAAATTAGACCATCCCAGGTGGGATTCTAACCACTGGCGTGACGTGGGGGGTGCAGAGGGTGCCATGACTGGGCGGCATACGAAAATGGGCGGCGGCAAGCACCGCGATTTTTAAATTCAAAAGATATTTCAAGCTCGAAATCACGCCCGCGAGTCGAAACTGACGGAAACGAGTGAAGGCTTTAATACACGCACAGATGCAGGAAGTTTATTAGTCCCTATGCAATCGCATTCGTTTTATGTTACTTAGGCTTTTGGCAACCGGTACTGGGTGAAGTCAATAATGCTTAAAATCATTTGCAAACAGAGGGACTAAATATCCATCAATGTACTCAAAAAAAAAAAAAATGCTTCCTTTACAGACCGTATTAGAAGCAAATTGAGATAAATTCATGGATGACGCTTTTGTCTATGCTAAATGTTTATGTGAAGAGCTTGAAATTTCTTTTGAACCCCAAAACGAATCAGGAGGAAGCATATATTTGGTGACGGAGGTAAAAAATGTTCAGTTATCGTACGAAGATAACTTGAGGCGAACAATGTTTTCATCAATAGACAGAGTAACTGCTGAAATTCGAGAAAGATTCCAACAATTGCAGAATCTAGTGCAAAAATATGCTTTTTAAAGACCTAAAGTGATATTGAGCATGGACGAACTTAACTTAGACCAACTCCTCAAGACATAAATAAATAAGAATTCCATCTTGAGCGCGTAGGTCTACAAGCTTTCGTAGCTGCAACAGACGCAGGCTGTAAAAAAGAACTCATTAGTTCCGGCTCTTTGGGTTTATTAAAATATATTATTGAGTCCCAAACTTGAAGATGGCTTGCCAAATATTGTCATAATGTTGAGAATTTTTTAACAGCTGCCATCAGTAATGCCAGTTGTGAGACGCTTCTCTTATAAGCTAAAATTAATCAAAATTATCTCAAAATCGACTATTTCCACGTTCAGGCTAACAAATTTAGCTGTTCTGGCAACTGAACATGGCATACATATTGATATTGACAATTGTGTAAAAGATTTTACTATGAAAAAAACACGAAAAACTACATTTTTAATCAATGAAAAAAAAATTTAAAGCTGCTTTTTTTTTTTTTACTTTTACTTATTTCTTGACTAATAATTAAAATAGAGGGGCGACAAACTTCTGGTCGGCCCCAGGTGGTGAAAGCCTACGCTACACCACTAATTCGAACCCACGACCTTTTGGATTAGAAGTCCAACGCACTATCCATTGCGCTACAGGGACGCAAAAAGCGATTTTCTTTTTTATATATGGTGTTGGATTATTATTTTTGTTTCTTACAATTTATTCATTAATTACATGCAATTGATAAATTAATATTTGAAAAAATGTATTAACATCAAGTGTCATCCAATACAACAAGTTTAAAAAAATGTATTTGAACTTGAATGGATGAACAAAAAGTATTTGATTTATTTATTTTTATTGAGAACATTTATAACCCCGTGCACCACAAAGTATCCCACAGGGGCTTACATAGAAGTAAGCGCGAAGCACACATCATAAAGAAGAGAAGGATTACAACACAAACATCCATGTCTTACCCGGGACTCGAACCCGGACCCTACGGCACCACAGTCAGCGTCACTAAGCTCTTAACCTCTGTACCGGATTAGCGAAAAAGTACTTTATTAACGAGATTGAAAGTTAGAACAAGATATATATATTCCATAGGATATATATATCTCATATAGGGAGAGTGTGAATCAATATAAAGAATTGAAAAAAAAACACGTAGATGATGGAAGCGTTAAGTCGTTATCTTTATGCTAAAAATTAAAAATCTCTTGGTTTATAGTATATTTTTTTAATATTTAATGTCACTTAGATTAGAATACACGTATCCAGTTTTTTTTAAGAATATTGTTACAATAAAAAATGATTTAAATGTAATATTTTGACAAAAAATGAACGTAGAATTACCTATTTTCGAAACATTCTCCTCTTATGGAAAATGCTTTTGAAGTGATAACTTCTTTTGGCGCGATTTGCTTGAGAGTGAACTTGAATGAACGTCACGCTCGGGAATGTAACGCTAATTCGGCTCTTTTCGTCTGCAGTCGGACATACTCATCCCTAAAAAGGAAAGAAGGTACGCTTCCTCCCGCCACTCTGAAACCGGTAGTTTGTACCCCCACCAATAAAAGTAAAAGTAAAGTTCCTAGCTTCGATCTAAGTGCCCCCCACCTCTTTCTAGGGCAGAGGGGAGCAACTAAATGACCTCGCGGGCTACTTCGGAAAAACTTAATCCCAAGGGCTGCATATAAAAATATATATCTTTATATAAGATTTGGATCCATCACAAACATTTTTTGGAGTAAAAATTCAAAACAGACTGATGTATTATTATTGTTTTCATTGTTTTTCATGTATACAAACATAGATAGAAAAATAATAATAATGCAATGATTAAATAATGTTTAATTTATTTAATTAGTGCAGTGTTTCTCAAAGTGTGGGGCGCGCCCCCCTGGGGGGGCATGATAACCCTACAAGAGGGGCGCGAGCATATCGAAAATTAAAAATTTTTTTTAAAAATATAACTGGAAAGAGAAGTAAAACAAAATACTTTCTTCCATAATAAAAAAAATGCATAACAACATTGATATAATTTATGTTTATTATCTGACCTTTTTCCGTCATCAAATAGCTATCTTTGATCCCAAAACCAAATTAAAGAGAAAAAAAACCACTTTGTTTAATGAGAGATACTTTTATTACGTTTTAACATAAAATATTTTTCGTTAAGAGAAAAAAAAACGAAACCCAGACCCATGAGAAAAAAATTCTAAGAAGATAAACAATTCATCACTGTAATTATTATTGAAATACCGTACATTAGTTATAGAAAAAGAAAAGGAAGACATGATTCAATTTTCAGTCAGGCTGCGGTTGCGCGGGGCATCTGTGATCTCTATTGAAGGAAGTTGTAACTTATCAACCAAAAGAAGAACCTGCTGAAAGATGCATATTATTCATGATTGAGAAACGCGATGAACATGAAACGAAAGGAAAATTTTCAAATGCTTTCTAAAGAACTCCATGAACTTAAAATATGAAGCCATAAGTGTACCACAAGGTTCAGTTCACCTTGTCAAAAGACACAAGAAAGAAAAAGTTTAACTTGTTATTTGTTGATCATCAAAGGTGTCACGAGTCTTCTCGCTTTAAATATTAAAAAAGTAACACAATTATTCTTCATCGGAATTTTATATTCTTTTTTCATAAATTAACATTAGTTCTAAATGCTAATTCTGTGAGGTTTAAAATTACAGTTCTCTTTTAAACAGTTATTTACAGTTATAGCATTTATCTAAAAAAAAAAATCATTTACATTTTTGTATACAATGTCGTGCACGCAGTTTTACTTTCCTTACAGTTCAGCTATTATATAAAGAATAATGTTTTATTTTTTTAAAAAAAATGAACTCGTGAAGAGCCGGTGTTTCAGCCAGTATGCGTTTAATGTATCAGTACTGAAGAAGTATTTTATAAATAATTTCTTAATACTAAATTAAGAGCAAGTTTAATAATTATTAGGGACTTTCATGGGCTTGTCTTGTAGAGCAAATTTTTCAAAGGAAGGTTTATAACATCAGAAATTGACACTCTGAGTTATTTTTCTATATTTAGCTGAGATCTATATTTTGTCTTCAAAGCAGCCACCGCAGAAAATCCAGTTTAACAAATGTGGAATGTTGAAAATGGTAATAGTATATGAAGTGCTTTGGTTTTTTCAGTACAGAGAATTCATCATCCACCTCTCTACCCAAAATTCAAAGAGCGATTTATTACAAAATTGCTTTTGTTTTTCACTGGATGTGAAATAGATTTCACATCCAGTTCGGAAGTTGAGAGCCCTTCTGGAGTATCTTTGAAATAAATCCCTAATCCACTCTTGTAACTTGCAACCAAGTTGTCCTCATCAAAAATACTTTTAATATTCTTTTGCCAGCATGTCTAAATGATTTTTACATGGTTTATAAAAACAACTTTCACATGTTGTTCTTCAGATTTGTAAGTTTTCACACATAACGAGCTGGGGCTTTTTTCCCCATCATTTACTTCAGTAGTGGTAAATCCAAAATTTAAGTATTTTTGAGAATATTTCCTTGATTTAATTTTCGGAACCATGCTCGTCTGTGTACTTGTTGATCCTTTATTATCATCGAATGTTTGCTTACGACTTAAAAATGTATGTATGATTTTGTTTTAATCTACGGCCGTAAATACTTAATTACCGTGCAAATTAAAAAATGTACATTCAAGATAGATTCAATAGCTATAGAAGTATTAAGACGACCAAAACTGACTGGAATTGTACGAGGAAAAGCATTTTTACATGTTTTGCCCAGACTCACGCAAACGTATCCGATAATGCCAGATGTGATGGATATGATAGAGAGCAACATAGACTAGACTATTTTTCTAATGACATTTGTACTTTGAGAAATGGATGCTGAAGGAAATAAATCTTTAATTAAATATATCATTTTGCGATCTGTTCCAATTTAAAAATTAGAGAAAGAAAAATAACATAATAATAAGTAAGTAATATATATTTAAAGTAAAAAAAATTCTTAAAATATATACTGCTTAAAAGTTACATATACAAAATTTAATATACTTATTGTATTAATTTGCACGGTTTATAATTAAAATCGTATTGTAACTTTAGCGTCTCTATCTCAAAGTGCATTTTTATTGCAGTGAATACATTATTGTTGTACAGGTGGGGGGCGAGAAAATTATGATTGAAAATTGGGTCGCCAGTATTGAAAAAGTTTGAGAAACACTGACTTATGTTACTAATTTGTATGGTTTATAATTAAGATCGCCTATTGTAGCTTTAGCGGCAAAGTGCATTATTATTGCATTCTGTACATTATTAATGTATAAGGGGGGCGCGATAAAAATTATGATTGAAAATTGGGTCGCCAGTATTGAAAGTTTGAGAAACACTGAATTAGTGAGATATCTGTTTCTGAACTCTTTCACTTAGTTTTTGCGAGTCGACTTCAATGCATGAGTATTTGCGTAACGTAATTGATGTTGCAGATTTTCGTGCGTTAAGTTTGAGCACGATTTATGCTTGATAAATTTCAATTTAGAAAAAAAAAAGAGATTCGCTGTAACAGAAGCAGCGTGATAAAATAATAACAGTTATGGGATTTATTTTTTACAAATAAATAAAAAATAAAACACTTTTTAAACAAAAATTATTGTACAAAATAGTCGAATTTCGTAAAGTTGTAAAGAACCTCACGAGCCGCAAAATTATTCAAGCCTGGCCACGTGCGGCCCCCGGGTTGGACACCCCTGCTCTAGGGTAATTAATGCGAGATTCTTTCTAATCCCTAGTTGAAGCATGAAAATGAAACGTAATATTTTAAAAAATAGGCTCAGAGAGAAAAAGAAATCCTACACTAAAATTAAACATAAAATGTAGAAAAAAGGAAAAATTTTTACAGAACCAAGTAAATAGTAATATTATCATTAGGAATATTGCAGTGATCTTAAGAATAAAAATCTATTTTTGTAAGCGAATCGGAAAAGCAATAAACAAATAGTTCTATTAATCACATTACTTAAATATACTTTGAGTCTAAAAAGAAAATTAAAACAATTAAAAATTTAAAATAACAAAATTAAGTATACAGGTATTAAGAAAAAGTTACGCTAAATAACTTAAATACAAGAAAACAAAATATAATTAAGACTTTCCTTGCAGCAGCACCGGATATATTTGTACAAAACTCCCAAACAATGACAAAAAAGAGCTAGTATAAGCCAGAGATTAGATGATATAAATAATACCTTTTGATTAAATCCCTTTTTACAGGTTTTGACCTATAGATTCCTCTCTTTCCAATCAACTACAAGTCTTACCATTACTTTCCTTAAATCAATTCATGGATAGAATTGAATATTGTTGAACTACAACCAAAATTCATAAAGCCAGATCGGGTCTTCAGAACAAATTACCTATGATTTTAAGTGGGAATATTAAAGTAGAGTTTTTTCAAAAGACAAATCAAAACCTTTAGTTGATTCTTTAAAATCAAAATTCAATTTAATTATGTCAAATGATCCAAATGAAGCACGAAGAAGTATGGAACAACTCTTGATGGAGTTTTTTTTATAGATATTTAAATAAAATTTTGAATCTAAAGGATTTATAACCTATTTCACTTACCAAGAACCAATTGTTTCCTTCTTAGAAT